ATGTTATGGATGAGAATGGAAATGTTGGCGACGCCATTGAAGGTTCTTCGTTCATTTTCAAGGGGACTAGAGTGCATGAGTTGAAGCAAAAGTTAGAAGAAGAAACAGGGATCGAGGATCATGAAGTCGGGGAAGATGAATAATGTTTTTTTTTTCCTTGTCCAAATAATTATTACAAGGGTATTATAGGGATTAGAAAATATTATAACAGCCTTTTTGGAGGGAAGGCTAACGGAAGGGTCTTTGTCTCACCGTCATTGTATAGGGGGGTCTTTGTCACAGACCCCTAGTACAGGGGGTCTTTGTAACGTACCCTTTATTTTATTTGTATAATTGGTTTGAATTCATTGTTTATATTATTATAAAATGCAAAAATTATATACATTGGTTCCTAATTAGTTTTTTTATTCAACATAGGGTCTGTTTGATTTACAGTTGAAATCAGAACTGAATCCCTCAGAATCAGAATAATCTGTTTCTATAGTATGTTTTGATTTAAACATGATTTCAATGGACATTAGAATCAGCTCTGATGGGATTTCATTCCTAAGGGAAGAAGAGGGAATGACAATTTCCTCAAATGGGAAAATTTTATTTCACCAGCATTCTAATTCCATACCTCTATTCCCGCAAACCAAATAGGCCCTTAGTTTTTCTTACAAATATTTGGGTGGTGATCGAAAGTTACTAAACTGGGTAAAGGAATTAGCAAAGAAAGAGGGAAAACTTTGAAGACTTTGACAAGTATAAATGAGATGACCTTTGATGATGCTGAATTTTGGCGTGGACCTCTTTATATGGGACCCATTTCTCCTGAATAAGTTACAACTTACAAGCCATCAGACACAATTAATGGTCATGCTCCCTGATCTCTAACTAATATATTAATATCTTGTCTAATAACCTATTATTTTCTGTCAAAGCAGTTTAATTTGGAGGTCTTTTCTTCCTAAATCCTAATAACCGGATCTTGTCCCTCTGGTGGCTTTACTCAGGGGAACGTCGATAAAGATATGTATGAACAAAAAGGAAAAGGCCAAAAGTAAGTTTCTTTGCAGCTTTTACCAACTTGCCTCCACATGTACTTTTCACTTTTCAGTAGTTAAATAAAAAAATAAAAGAATGGCGAAGCATGAGAAGAGTGGCAACCAATTTTTCATTTCAAAAGTGATTCCGCTATAAAGGCAAGACCAAGAATTAGAGCTGGCAAAAAGTTAATCTTATCCGCAAACCTGGTTAGGGTCTCATATTTAGCTATATGAATGGGAGAATGACTCGACCTGATTCAAAAAAATTGGGTTGGGTCATGGATAAATTCGTTGATCCGTTTGTCAGGTCTAATTGGGACTATTTATGCATTGTTAAAAATTTACACTTTTTAATTTTTTTTATTTAACCTTTATTCTTTGAATTGTTAAATGTTCAAATTTTTTAATTTTATATTTGGAGTTTTAAGATTAATTCCTTTAATTTTGGCATTTTTCATATATTTTTTCTTTATGTTTTTAAATTTTAGTATGACCCGAATTGACCCATGGGTCAACCCTAACCCAAACATTTAGGGTTAGGGTCTATCATTTGACAACCTAACCCAAAAGTCAACCTAACCCGAAATCAACCTGAAGTGTCTTGACCCAACCCACCCAACCCAATTGCCAGGTCTACCAAGAATATATTTGGTTGGTTATTTGGAACTGGAGAGTGGGCATTTAATCATGGACCCGGACTTTCATCTGTTTACTTTAAGGGCTGTAACCTAGGCTGGACGGCTTATGGTCTTTGATCCCATGCCTCTGTATTTGGAGGACCATGAGTGATCATCTCAGCTACTGGATGATTGGCCAAGGGTTGTTTACCTATGGCACTACCCCTGTACTCCTCGTCTTTACTAGTGCTTCTATTTCCATCTTGTACCAAAAAAAAAAAAGTAAAATTCTGAATAGGACTGGCCCCGAAGCCCAGGCCAAATTCAGTGTGTCAAATTTCTAATTGGGTGACCGATTTACACTATACCCCTAGTATGCCGAAGATTTGAGATGTAATGTGGGCTGTTTCATGGCCTGTATTGTTTTTTTTAATGAAAAAATTAATAAAATAAATTAACAAGAAAAACTAGAGATTGAAAAAAAAAAGCAAAAATTTTGAATTTTGATGTATACAATTATTTATATATGAAATAATAAAATAAAATTGAAAATAAAAATTTATATACATATATACATACATACATAATATACATAGATATGTGTGTATTGGAGGGGGGCATACTAGGCCATCATCCGAATTGTACTGAGCTAGGCCAGCACAGGTCACTTTTTTTGTGCCATTCATGCTGACCACGGGCCTCAAAACCCAGGCCCGGTATGGCACAGGGTTTGCTTATATAGTGACCAGGCCAGGACTGGCATGGCCCAAGTCGTGCTAAGCCATTCCAACCTGCAGGCGGCCCAACCCACTTTTCTAATGGGGTTTTCTAAGAGAAATAATAAGTAAAAATGGGTTTTAACTTCCAATCACAAATCTAAGTGTGCACTTTATTCTAGCTGATAAGGCAACTTTTGGGCCCTAATACCAATAAAAATAATATTTTTAACATAATTTTTAGAATAGGTTAACTTTTTCCTCTCTCTCTCCATCTTCTTCTTCTTCTCTGCATCTGAGTTGTTAACTCAGAGCAGAAATGCTATGAGTTATTCTTTTGAAGCAATTAGAAGAATACATGAAACACCGTATTAAGTACACGAATCAGTGGTTTGGTTCCAACTACTAAGCCTATTAGAGGTATCTGAATCAGTTTTGAACACCATTAAGCCTAAAAATCAGGATTTGAAGAGGTCTATGAATATGCCAAGTAGAGAAGTAAGATACACATAACAAAATGCAAAAACGCAAAATTGGGCTTCACCATTTTAGCTTGCAAATAATCCAGCAACTAAAAAGGTTCACAAAAAAGTAGAAATCTATGACCAATATTTATTGATGTTGGGAGAGACTTATTCAATGGTTTGAAGGAGGAAGGAGATGAACAATATTTCTGTCCCTATTTGATAATTAACCAATTTTAATAATTAGGTTAAAAAAATTATTTTTATTGATATTAATGCCCAAAAATTGCCTTATCCCTTTTTTTCTCTATCCTTGTTAATGGGTCTGAATATTAATTACATTAACAAAGAGACCCTCTCACACCTTCTTTGTTTATAGTTGCAATGTTGGCCTTATTTAGTTTATGGCCTATGGCAGTATGCATTTTGAAAGAACAGCGTTAAATGAGTTCAAAATTGGTTGATATAATGTGTTTTTAAAGAACCGGTTATTAATTATATAATATTATAATTGGTTCAGGTCCGGATAAGTTGAAAACCCAATTATTAGAAATATTTACACAGTCACACTAATCGAATCAGGGGCATATATTTAAAACATCTAATCAATCTTTTGATTTTTTAAAAATACCAAACTAAAATCGAACCACATCAATTACTTGATCGGTTTGATTTTTCGATCGATTCGGTTAATGATAGTTCTTTCTAGTTTCAATAGATTAACCGGAACCAAACCAACGAATTCCATTAACAAGATTTGTTTGGTTCGATTTTCTGTTTTTTATGAGCACCCACAAGATCTGCGGCTGTAGTGTTGTGCGTAGGTGTGAGGGGTAGTAGACTGATACTATGCCCTATCAAATATCTGATTTGATAATATCAATAAAAGATTATATAACTTTACTTCAAAAATATAAGGGCAAGGCACTGTATCCTCTGTATTCATCCGAATACACTGTTCATGCGAGAGACGGAGCAGGGGAACAGGCAGCGTTCTCCTTCGCAGTTGTTCTCAAATTCAAAAGAGAGAAAAAAAAAAAAAAAGATCCCCAAAAATCTAAATACATGGAATGAGTGGAGAAGGAAGAGAAAACAAAAAAAAACAAGTGGGTATGATAATGTTTGTATATCAGATAAAGCAATCGACAATAGGAGGCATCTTCCTTCCAAGCTGTAAATCTAAATCATTCTCCAAAGGCATCAAATTCAAATCCAAACACAAAACCCTCCTGCTACTGCTGGATCTCTTTAAAATAGCTGGCACTTGTGGGGGCTGGCGGAGGCGGAGGTGGGCGGTGTTGAGCCCGCCATCACCTCCTCGCATGTTTCCTCGCTTGCATGGAGATCACAGCTTCCGTTTCCGTAGATTCCCTCACCCGCTTCGACGGCACAGGCACCCGACACTCCTTTTCGCTGGACTGCTTTGCTATGCAGTTTGTTTCCCGACGAAACCTTGTCGGAGAACCTGGTCGTTGCTCCCCTTTCCTATAGAAGTTTTGGCAGAGATTGAACTGCGTTTACGGATGAATACAGATGGGGCTGTGAAGTCTCGGTTTCCCCTTGAACTGTACAGAAGGGAAAAAAAAGTTACTTTATTTTGATTATTTTATAAAAATATTGATATTCAGGGCAAAAAGTTGCCCTTATCTGCTAAAAACCCTTGTTTTTAAGCCGAGCCAACCGCCTGGCTCGAGATCTTTGTAGCCGCTCCCGGACCCTGAGTGTCATCTTAACCGGCTAAATCCGGTTAACCAGTCCAACTGCGTTGTACAGGCATGACCGTACGGTTAAGTCAGGTCGTTTCTTTGGCAGTTGGTAAGCATTTAGTGTGCCGTTGCTGTTGTTTCTCACTTCTTCAGTAAGCAAACTTCGATCTGGCGAAGTAGCTCAGAGGATAGAAGATAGAGCTGGCGTCTGTGCATTCGAGCTTCTCTTTTTTCTCTCGCATGTAATCAGATTGTTATACTTCGTTTTCCCATAGATCTGCGGTTCTTCACCAAATTGTAGCTCGCAATTCGAATCCTGAGAACCTCAATTTCCCATTATGGAGATTTTTGCAGTGCCAATCGACTGTATAATTGACTGCATGCATTTCGTGTCGTTTTGACCAAATCGATGCTCTTATATAAGAATCGAAGAATTGGTAGCAGGTAGAATGTAAAATCTTTTTTTTTTTTTTTTTTGTCTATTTCTGGATGCATGCATTCTAGGAGCTTTGGATCCCCGGAAATTCTTGCATTTTGTACCATGTATAATTGCTAGGGTTACTTGGTCCGTTCGCTCGGTTTAATTTTTTTTTTTTTTTTTGCAAAGCTCATAAATTTGTCTATTTGTTTTATTTTGCATGGCTGAAATTAGTGTAATTCTTGAATGGTTTTTGAACGGGGAATAAATGAGGGATTTGGGGTTTTGCTTTTCAATTAAGTTAATCTTAATCATTGGAAGAAGTTCAATCAGAGGATAAAGATTTTCGATTTTTTTCCTTTCTCCTTCAATTGGAGTTTCCCTTCGGGTGAGCTTCGATTTTTGTTTCATATCTCGAATGCCATTTGCTTCCAGCACTTGATATGAAAATTCAAATTTGACTTTTGATGGCTTAAAATTTTAATTTCAGCCAAAAATTTGATGTCATTTTCATTTCAGAAGAACTTAAAAAAATCTCGACCTTTTTTTTCTCAATCTGAAACAACTACATCCATTTAATATTATTGACCAAGCCCGTGATTTGGGGAGCTTTTGCATGAATTTCTTTTAGGTTCAACGCATTGAAATTCCCTTTATAATTTCATGAGGAAGATTCACCGTTCACTACATATATAATAAAAGAAGAAAAATAAAACAAAATAAAAAACCCTTTTTTTCGTTTCTCTCGAATTCGGTAGCTCCAATTGGAGTTTTGGATTCATTTGTGCTAATATTGCTCTACACAAATTGATGGTCTTTGGTCTGCAATTCAACCAAATCTCATGATTTGCCAGATTTAGCTGAAACATTGAGGGGCCGGATTATAGTGGTTAAATTTCCTGCGTCACTCGTCTAATATCATGTCTACAGTCTACTTCAATATGGCGGTGAACTAAAAACTTGAGATCAAGAAAATGCTGGAACCCGAGTTGTGCTCTTCCCGTGTTCTGTCTCCTTTCCGTGAAGAAAGCGGTGACGAAGAGTTGTCTGTGCTTCCCCGGCACACGAAAGTTATTGTTACAGGGAACAACCGAACAAAATCTGTACTGGTGGGTCTACAAGGCGTCGTCAAAAAGGCTGTCGGACTCGGTGGTTGGCACTGGCTGGTAAGTTATTCTTTCTTCTTCTTCTTCTTTTTTCTTTTTTTAGCGAGATCTATGTTTAATTCTATTTATGCTTACCGTGTTGAAGTAATTCTCTTTTATTCTTTCACTTATAATTAGAATAATATGCTTCCTTTAACAAACTGATGAATTTTTTAACAATTGGGTTCTGGCGTCCCCGTGAACTGAGAAAGATTGCTTGGTTGGAGCAAGGCAGTAAACTGGTGAATTTGTCTTGAAAGCAGAATTATATTCTATTGGCATTCCCATTAATAAACTAGGATTTTATGAATCCAGCTTCTGTAAGAGTAGTACAATTATGACGGGAATTAAGTTTGATAGGAAGGGAGAGTGAATTTTATTTATTCCCTCCTCTCATCCTAAAATTTCTTCTCTTTTATCTGCAAAAAAAAAAGGCTTTGCAATGGTCTACATGGTAGGTGATGGGTTTCAAATCCCGCCAGTTTTTTTTTAATATATTGGTGGATTGTTATTTGTAACTCCTATAATGGTCGTCTACCTACTACGATAATTGAAGCTCTTTCAATTCGGCACTTATATTTGGTTGATGGATTGGTAAATCTATTAGGTTCTGAAAAATGGGGTTGAAGTTAAATTACAAAGGAATGCTTTAAGTGTACTGGAACCTCCCACTGGGAATGAAGAAGATGAAGATAATGACTTGGACAACTCCTACAGTAGCTCAGATATGGGTGAGAACATGCATAGTTTCAGTTGGCTTATTGTTTTACTTTATCAGGAAGAATTATTGTTATAATAGATGAAACGGTAATTAAGTTAATATGGTTAAAACAAGTTGTTATATATGTTTTCTTTTATATATATATGCAGCTAGTAGTATTGAGTTCCACAAATCAAGCAAGCCAAGAGTACGCCATGCACGACAGTGGATATCTTCATCAAAATTGAACCGAAGCAATTTCAGACAAGTACATGGGAATATTCATAAACCTCAATTGGTGAGATGTTTGGAAATAAGAAGCCATTTGTTTTTCTCTTCATTTCTTTTGCTGCGTCTTTTGTGGTGTTCATTCAATAACGAAACGAATTTTCCCTGGATCAGAAAGTCAACCTGGCTAGATTAGGATCAAACACATTGTGGAGATACTGTAGGCACTTCAAACTCGTGAGTTCCATGCACTATCCTTTCTTCTTCTTTGTCAGCATTACAATGGGTTTGTTTGTTATGCTGAAGCGTAAGTTGTCTAAAATTTTTCTTCTAGGCGGCCATGAATCCCAATCCATCCAAGGAGCAAATGGTTGATTCTGTACGAAGGCACTTTTCATCAATGGTATTGGTTCTCTCACTGTAGATCTCTTTTCTAATTTATCTTCATGCATGTCTGTATGACAATTGCTCATAGTTTTTTGGGTGTGTCGTGCACAAAACAGCAAGTGGACGAGATTGATGCTATTGTGGGGTTCATTCACTCAGCCAAAAGATTGAAAGCAGTAGAGATATAGAAAGCGACTACTACTACAGCATCTGCACTCACAAACAGAAGGAAACAACTCAGATGATTTCCTTTGCCTGTAATATAGATATCAAACTAACCTATAAACTGCATTTAGGGTGATGATAGTCCAATCCATTGTGTCAAGTTCCTGTTTTTCTTTAGTAAATGTAATATGGTGGTGTTTGGAACCGCTGCCACATAGTGCCAAATCCAATCCAATCATGTTTCATCTCACAATTTTATTTGGTTGATTGTTACCTTTGATGAGTTGGATAGGCACTTAAAGCGTTTTCCCCGGAGGATAGTGGACCAATAATCAAATGCCATGCCAGCCTGATACATGGGGCGGGCCATCTGTATAGAGTTCTGCTTTTTCATATTGCCACGTCAACAGATTTGTCAAGATGCAGCACTTGAGAAAACGTATTCAGCAAATGAATCATAGTATACAATAAAATAAAGAGAATTTTTTATTAGTACTTTTAGCTGAAGTAGTATTTGAAAAAGATATAAATGCTTTTGAATGTCATCTAAATTTTTATCAATCATTCAAATATTGATAAAAAATTAACAGTCTTAAATCTTTTCATCTTTTATTCAAGAAAGTTGGGGTCTAGAATAACAAGGATTTGAGATTGATAATTTTTTGTTAATGTTTGGATGGTTGATAAAGAAAATTAGATGACCTTTGAAGGGTATTTATATCTTTTTTAAAGGCCACTTAACGGTTGGTTAATGGATGATTAACGGTAGGTATTAGATTGAGATGTTTTAAAAATTGGGATACCAAATTGTTGTATTTTAAACACCAGCGATTAAAATGAAACTAGACCCAAAATATAAGATATTAATCGGAAATTTACCCTAAAATAAATGATATGCGAAGCCAATGAACCGTGCGAAAAAAGGAAAAACCATTCCAATCCATATTTCTATCTCAGTTCTAAGAATCACACACAACTGAGCATAACATAACCATCAAGTTCAAGAATTAATGCTCAACTGGGAAAGTGGAAGGACAAATGGATTTCTGCCACCAAACACTAGTGTGGATGTTTCAAAGCAATCTCTAGTGTCTTAGAACAACGTAGTGTGTGCGGATATTTAAGTTGTAGGGTGTGTGTGGATTTGATTTGGTAATCGCCAGGTTGTCGTTTGGTGTCAGGAGTCATGGAATAGGAGGATTGACAGCTACCGCGAGGGTGACGGGTCGGCAAGGGAGTAGCAGAATCCCAGGTCTTCACCCTATTTATACTAATGTAAAGGAAAATCATTTAAAACTCATCATAAATTCTCTTAAACTCATCCTAACTTTAGCATCCAAAACTCACCATGATTCTTATTTACTATTTTCCCCTTTCTTATGTTCGACCCATTTTATAATATCCTAAAATTATTCCATCATTTTTCAATCCAAAACCTTTAAGTTTGAAGGAAGAAGTAAGGAGAGGAAGGAAAATATTGTAAAACCTTTATAAACCCTGCATAGGCTTCTTTACCTTTTCCTACATTTTCCTTTAAATCAAACACAACCTTATAGTTTGATGGGAAGAGAACACCATTGCCGCTGCTTCTTCCACCGTTTGAGAAAGGAAAACCATTGCCATTTGCCACTGTTTCCTCTCCCATCCGAGAAAAAGAAAACGATTGCCGATAATTCTTCCACCATCTAAGAACGTGAAAATGATTGCTACTGCTTTTTCCACCATTTGAGAAAGGGAAAATCATTATTGTTGAGACCTCCGACGTCGGTTGTCTGGTTGGTGTTTGAGTATGAATGAAACTAATTAAAGATGGTTTCAGTAGAACTGTAGAAGTGATTGATTAAAGAGGTTTACAGGAACATATACCAATCTTAGTTCCTTTGTTTAATACTTACTGTTAGAGATGATGATAAAAAGAATTTATCTAGGAACTTTAAGTTTTTTTTCTAGAAAACTTTTCCTGCTTCATCCGCATGGAATGATGATATGGCCAAGCCGATATAGATCAGAAGAAGGACGCTCTTTATTTACCTGTTAATTTTATATCATATTTTTTCAGCATATTAGACCCAACTTCATCTTCAGATTTTATAGTTAATTTGCATCTTTAGTAAGAGAGAGGGAGAAGGAGAACCAGAATATCATTTCAAGTTGTTGTTCGGGTGATCCCTTGAACTCTGTGTTTATTCGGTATTCATGAACCCAAAATTAGAGGTGTAAAATGGGTTGTGCCATGCGGGGGCCGCCGCAGGCTATGCCGCCCTTCCTTGGGACAACGTGGGGGGTCGACATGACATGACCCACAACCCAAGCCCGTAAGGGTTCGTGCCATGCCACGGATCAGGCTGGTCTCTGGCCCAATCCTTGACCAAGCCTGACCGTGGACCGGGCCAAAGTTATTTATTTAAAAATTTGAAAAAAAAGAAACTTAAAATTTTAATTTTATATGAATTTTATTATAAACAATTGCTTATATATACAATAATTTAATAAAATTGAAAACAATTATTTATTTTATTAATATATTATATACTATATATTATTATATAATTATAATTTATATAATATATAATATATTATATATGGCCCAGCATGGCCCGACTTACACATCTAGCCAAACCACAATGCCAATAAAGATGAATGCTACAAATTGTCAGCTACATATCTCAAGTCAAAGGGTTGAAAAAAAATCCAAGTATTCTTCCTATGGTCATCTTTGATTGGCATCGCCATAGCTTCTCTTGATTCAGTGTAAGGCACCGTAAAGTCCACATACAATGATAGATTTGCTATTATTGTTATATCTCCCACCACAACAACAAATTCTTGTTCATTCCGAAAAGAATCCACTCACTCCTCATTCATGAAACATGAAAATTTTCCACCAATAACAGAAATATTCCAATGGAAACCCACTCAATTAAGCTATTCATTTTAGAATTTAGTGGGTGATGGGTGTTCTGGAAATTTTGTTTTTTTTTTTCTGTGTTCACAACCGCTTCTAGTTAGGGAACCAGTAACATGTGGTTTTGGAACAAAAAACCACCCTCACGCTCAATGAAAAAATGAGTGCCCAAATTAAGCAAAAATGGTGAAATAATTGGTTAGATGTTTGTTGGACGTTGAGAGTAAGAAGACTCTTTCTTGGATGTTGAGAGGAAAGACTCATCCTTGGATGTTGATGTTGAGAGCAAGTAAGACTCTCATCTCAACAAGCAGAAATCTTATATGTGAAAGAAATTTGGGCGCTTACGGGCACTTCAGTCAAAAATTTGTTTAACAAGCTGATTCACTATTTAGGGGCAATTTGGTCATAAAACTTGCATTTAGGTTGAAGTGGACATTTTGGGTCAATCACAGTTAATTTTGGACAATTAGTTTAAGTACCGTTTTTTCAAATTTCAAACCGATACAATAAAAGCTATGCTGGGGATAAAGGTGTAAAGTGGGTCGTGCTAGGCTGACTGGCCCGTAGGTCATCATGGGCTATACCGCCTTTCCCGATGAAAATTTTGAGGGTCGGCCCGGCGGTCAGGTCAGGCTGTGTATCGGGGCAAAGCTATTTATTTAAAAAATTTAAAATTTTAATTTTATATAAATTTTGTGTATAAAATTGTTTCTATATATAATAATTAAATAAATTAGTAAAATAAAATAAAAAACAGGTGGGGAAACGAGAGAGAGAGAGTAAGTAGAACGACGTCAAAACAGGTGGTATGGTGTTGTCAATTTGTCACCTTTTTTTTCTTTAGCCTTCAAAATTAGCGGATAGAGATAGGCTCATGGGCCCTTATCCTCTACAGTTCTACTCGTGAATCGACAAGACACACCACCAAATCCCGTAGTGGATTCTAAATTTATCTTGGGGCTCCTATAACTTACAACGTGGCAGATATTCTGAAGATCAGGATCTGATATCCATCACCGGATGGTCCCCACACCGACACTGAGAGAGCTGATTAGAAGTTGGTTAGTGCCCGTTACGCCGTCGTTTTACTCGGATGCTTTGCAAAACTTCTTGCCGCGCCCGAGTATTTGATTCATAAATGCATTTTGAAGTTTCACCTTTGAGGTGAGAATTCATTGAATGATGGGTCCTCAATTCCTCAATCCCCATCATCTTTTAATATGCTACAACAGACGACACCATTTTATTATCTTTCTATTTAAGAATAAGAATGAATTCAAGTATTCAACAAAGAAAATATTAAGAAAAACTACAACACACTGTCAGCATTACGCCAATGGAAGTCCATCCACGTTTAGTCAACAGTTTAACTGGACGGTCATGTGGATCAAGGGCTCAAGGCCATACTTGTATCCAGGAATTCGAGCATCCGGGGCTGGGCCTCTTCACATTGCTCCAAAACTATGTTTGTACCAATTTCTTTCTTTTTTTTTTTTTTTTGAAAATAAACAGAAATGTACTATATAACGGGGTAGTTCCCAATGAGATGAAAATCTAGAGAAGCAGAAGAAAGAGCCTCCCGAGCCAGCCAGTCAACCGCCTGATTTGCTTCTCTGAAAACATGTTGATAATGAAGACCCCCTTCAAATAGACTTCTCCTCCACAAGCAATTTGAGATAGTACCTTTCAACATCCAAGGAATATCCATCTTTTTTTTTTTTTGAGGCAGGAAATGACAACAGATAAATCTCCTTCTATGATGACAGGAAGTTCCTTGTAGTTTGTAGCTTGGACATGGGCTTCCCATGCAGCCCAAGCTTCAGCTTAGTTGATAGAATATGTACCAAGTTTATATGCTTTGACTGCTAGTACCCTACCAAGATGGTCCTAGACTATGTAGGCCACTAAACATTTTCCACCACTATTGCAAGAAGCATCAAAATTTATTTTAATATAATCATATTTTGGAGTAATCCAACTAATTTGTTTTCAAAACTTGTGAGATGTGGTAGAGGTACTAAATTTATTCCCATCAAAAGTTTCCATAAACACATTGAGAGCTCTATCTAACATTATTGGATTGGGAATAGTACCATCATTAAAGGTTCTGGAGTTCCTATATTTCCAGACCACCCATAGAACAAAAGCTAGTTTTTCCTTTGCGAATAGAGTAGCAGCAATCAACTGAATCAACTCGTGGGATGGTTCATAATGTTGAAATCGGAATTGATCCTCACAATATATCACAATCATGCATTAGAAACATCTCTCATATTTGTATATTGTCATTCATGGCCAATTGGGTTAGTCACCCGGTCACAATTTGGGTTATGATCAACATCTAAACACTTCATATCCAAAAAGAGAAAAAAAAAATTGTAGTAGGTTTAGTGAGCATATAATTGGCTTAAGCAATTAATTGGTAATGCATTTGATCTGGAGGATGGTAATGAAAGAATGGTAGGATCCATCGTATGGATGTCAAAAGGGTTGTGGAAT